CACCTACATCTAATACTTCGTTTGCAAGCCTCTAGCCTTCTTGCATGCACTAATACGGCGCGGCATAGAAGTAATGAGGCGCTTGATTAGTGCATTTGGTATGCGCTGCCAGCACTCCTGCAACGCCTTGCAGAACCCATCCTATTCATCCTGAGCTGTAACTAAGTTGTTATACTGTGGGTAGTGCTTATACATCATCTTTTTCAGCACCCACCACATATGCTCAATTGGGTTAAGGTCCGGTGAATAAGGAGGCCAATCAATGACGTTGATGTGGTGCTGCTGCATGAATACCCGCACCTTGCGCGAGGTGTGTATGCCAGCGTTATCCTGCATGAAGTATTGCGAACGCCTGTACTAAGGCAGCAGACCTTTTGTCAAGGTATCAATGTAACTTTAGGCGGAGTAGCCACCGCGGGGAGCATCAGAATCACGCTCCATAATGACTAGTTTGCTGCGGCGTGGGTAGTCGCGTTCATCTAACCATGTGCAACCCCACACTATCTGTGCCGGCTTCCTGGCTGTACAGCACTTAGTTAACATCTCCTTCTTCCATTTCTCCTAAGAAAAACGAAAAGCCTACTCGTTATTTGCACCAGAACCCTTCTAAACGGAGCACTCGTCGCTGAATTTAACCGTACGGCGGCGCTAAAGGAAGTTTATCTACCTCCTACAGAAGCTACGTCGTTTGGAGGCATATATAGAGGTTAGTTTTGGACGCTTTTTGCAGCGATATTTGGTTATCGTACGTCGTTTGAGTACCCTGTACAATGTGGAGTGGCTGGGAGGCTTCGTAGTAGTGCCATCCGCGTTCACAAACACTCCATCTTTAGCGAGCTTTGAGTACTTAATCTTTGGTGCAGCGCGTGCTTTCCGGTATATGATTTTTTCCAGGCGACGCGATAGTATATGAGGATGCCCACTGCGAGGGCGCTCCTCTATTGTGGGTGTTTTGGTGTAGGTGCGGATGGTATATTTGATCGCGCTCTCGCTTCGTCCGAACTCCGCTGCGAGCTCCCGCACCGGCACCCCCTCCTCACGCTTGGCGATGATCCCCTGGCGATCTGCAGGACTAATATTTGGGCCACGACGCACATTTTGATCTATTTCTTGTCCAAATCGGCGCTGTGGAGGCATAGTTATGACGCGTTGAAGTTGTGGTGTTGGTGTTGTGGAAGCGGGGTCGGCAAAATCACGGTTCAAAACTTTTGACGCGTCACTGTATATTATTATTATTATTAACGTGTTGTACAAGCGAGTGGGCCAGACAAGCGAGTGGGCCACCCCACCAACTTTCGCATCTTCAAAGCGATTTAACTCAACAACGCGATTATACAAACTATAGATATATATAGAGTAGATTAAGTAGTATCTAACTATCCTTTTTGCACGTACGTAAGTCATGCCCAGTCTCTTTACACCTACTGCAGCGCCTTTGAGCGCGCTGGCTAAGGCCTAATCGCGCTCCTCCTTGACGCTCTTCACAAGCAATCTGCTGGTCAGCCTCATTTTGAGCTAGTATATCCTCTGCAGCTCCCTTTGTTAAGACTCCACGCTGCTGTAGTCTCTTTTTCTTGCGCTGCCTACGCGCTGACGCTGCCTTGTTGGCTCTCTCAAGGCTGGTGATCCGATCGCGCATCAGCTCAGCCGAGAGCATCATCACCTCAGCTCCCTTCTTGAGCTGGTTAATCGCCTCAATAATCGAAGCTGGTGATGAGCTCTTATGCCGGCGCACGCGCTCGCGTATTAGACTTGATTGAGACTCAAGCTCACGTACGTTGCTCGGCGTACGAGCCTCCCAGGGAGCCTCTGGTAGAGCAGCTGGAGTAGGCGTACGCAGCTGCACATCGAGCTTTGATAGAACAGCATCTGGCTGTAGAGGAACAAGGCCTGCGCCGCGGAAAGATGATTGGATATTGGCTGGCGTGAACGCTCGATCAAATGCTGCCTTGAAGGCCGGCAGGAACTCAAGCTTGGTGATGTGGTTGATGTGGTGGCGGATCAGGCTCTCCACCTCACGGCTGTACGCCCGCTTCAATGGCGAGAAGCAGCCAACATCAAGCGGCTGGAGTAGGTGAGATGAATGAGGTGGCATACAGAGCGTGTAGATGTTGTTCTCCTTGCAGAGCTCTTGAAACTCAAGCGACTGGTGGCTCTCATGGCCATCAAGGACAAGCAGGCGACGCGCGCCTACAACACGAGCCTTTGTGTAAGCGTTGAAGTGCTTTAGCCACTCAACTCCTAGCTTATTGTTGGTCCAGCCATTGTCGCTGACTGCGATCGCCCAGTCGCGTGGGAGGTCCTCATACCAAGCAGATAGGTGATACTGGCCAGCAAAGATGAGGAACGGTGGGACTGACCAGCCAGCTGCGTTGATCGCAGCGATCAACGTCACCCACTCGCGATTGCCTGGCTGGATAGTCTTTGGCCTGCCTCTCCTTTCTGACGCTGTCACGACAAGCTGAGTTGTAATCTTGCCCATCATAAAGCCAGTTTCGTCAAAGTTGTAGACATCCTCATCGCAGATGCCGTACTTGGCCTTCGTCTGCTCTACCAGCTCAAACCAGCTCTTGATTAGTACAGGATCCTCACACAGAGCTCGCTGCCTATCGTACGCTCGATTGAAACGCGTCGTGAGACTATCTGTACGCTTGACAAAGTTGGCTGGCCAGTGGATACCAACCTGGCCAGCGCCACGTGCAGCCAGCAGCTTATCAGCCATATCACGTACAGCTTCGTACGTAGGCGCAAATCCACGCTGATCTAAGCTAAGTATATGGTTAACAATCACCTCCTCTTCTCTCTGTGTGAGCTTCCTTGAGTTGGGCTGGCAATCGCGTCGGGCAGGCTTTCCAGCGCGTCGGCGCGTAAGCGTCATTCGGGAGACTTCGAACGTCCGCGCGGCATCTCTATGAGACTGAATTTGATTCTGGTTAAGAGCTGAAACTGCCGTGTGTATATCATCTTCATAAGAAGCTTTTTGGGATTGTTTTGGTAGAGGCATTGCGTGCAAAGGTGAGGTGGGTGATCAAAGTTGGTGGGGTGGCCCACTCGCTTGTCTGGCCCACTCGCTTGTACAACACGTTATTCCATTTGAGTCCTTTTTCAGTCAGAGACTATGTAGGACTGGGCCGAAGGCCTTTCTATCTGGTTTTGTTTATCGTACAGTTTGGGTATTTGTTTGGCTATGGCAGTTTAGGCTTGCTTCTAGCTAGATACTCGGTGTCTAGCTAGTGCCTGGTGCTAAAGAGCAGTTTGGTGAATAGAAAGAGATGTAGCAGCGGGCTCTTATGGCAAAGGAGGAGGCAGTGTTTTTAGTTTTATACAGTGTCTCTCTGTGGCGTCACTGTATAGGCGAGATGGAAAGAAAGAAGGAATAACGATATTGAGGGGGAACAGCTTACCGATGGCAAAGTGATGATGGTCCCGTGCGTCTATTCTCACACAGGCTCATACACTGGCACAGCTTCGGTCGACTGTACCACAGAGCCCCAGCTTTTTCTAACAGATGCATGCACTCGTGATGAGACCCAAGATATTATGCGCCTTGGACGAGCGAGCTGAGGAATTCGCAGATTGATGACCAGCAGTAGCTTGTTGTATCTCCTGCTCTATTCGATGTGGCTTTTTGCAGTGTCTGGACACAGCAGCGGCACGCATGAGTCTTGCTGTGGATGGTCCTGGACAGACTATCAGAGCCGCATGTTTTCAACAAAATACCGGGGAAAGCCGCGTGCACGGAACATAATGATTCACTGCTGGTCGGGAAATCGACACGATTAGCCTAACCCGAAAAAATGGCTCGCTGTGACACCGTAGCGGGTTGCGGGTAGGGAACAAGTGCCTGAATTTGGTAAGCTATGCTTACCGGTGTATGGTACGGTCAAGAATGATAAGCCTCATCTGGCCTTGTTTTTCATGAGCGGTCTCAAACTCCCGCAATCGGCCGAGCCGCGATGTAAGGATAACCCCGGGCGTTCGGCGTAGTGGATTTTACGCCGAGAATAATGATTGGTAAGACATCTGAGTATGTATGTCCTGCCGTCTTATCCGGTCTCATTCTCTGATCTAGGGACAAGAATGATTCACCCACATACAGAATTGAGAGTAATCTGGCTTTGATCGCGGAACACGTCAGCAATGACGATTGTTACTCGATCTCTTGTATCCATCGTCTCCGATCTGCTTCCACTGGAACGCGATGTTTTCAGGCAAGTTTGACGGCCAGAGTTGATCCGGACAACGGACGAAGTGAACGTATTGTACACCCGGTAGGAAAGCCGTTAGGCTACGATAGCCAGGTAGATGCTCTTTCGTTATCAAAAGGCTCACAAGAATATTTCCGGTGAGTGCAGTAAAGCACACAATCCCAGCTTGATGATTGTTTCAAACGCCTCGCCAAGTTCTTGTACAATAGTCCTGCCGAGATTTATACAGTACTCGATATATTCTTCACCATCGGAATGGCGGTACATGCTGCCACTTCCGCATACAGATCAGATACATGGATGCATCATGGATTATTCGGACTAGCATGGGTGGAACGGCAGGAATCGTGGGGTGTCGGAGGCTTGCCGGAGAGACCCCGCCCCACATTAGCCTAGGCGTCGGTAGGATATTGCGCGAACGGCGGCTTGGTACGAAGGTAGTGACGTGCTTCGATGAGAGTAGTTATATTAAGGACCGAAAGAATTCCAAAAAAGGGAAGATGATCGAGCGAAGTGTTATTAAGGGTGGGTAGGTGCCGTTAGAAGTAAGTGCGGGGTCATGCCGTGACGCACCTCGCCATCGGGAACTTTTCTTCTGCTTCATCTAGCAACGCCATCTGTCCTCTTCCATCCAGGCGTGAAGAAGCCACGTCCCTGATAATCATATCTCGATACAGAAGTCTGTGAACTGAGATCTGCGATACACAAATACGCTCTCGTCTTCAACCTCACCCAGCGGAACCAGCCGACTCAAAAGCTATACCCCAACGCTCGCAGCGTCCACTTGCCGAGTCAACTCGTAAACGGATCCTTCTTCTTCGATGAATTTCTCTCTATCTCTGTATTCCCGTCATCTTCCGGAGCCGATGACTGCGATAAGTGGTCCCATTCGTCGTCATCGTCGCAGTGTCGAGGGAAACGCGCGAAGCCTGTGGGGCTGAGCACGATCGGAATTGTATCGCCTGAGTTCAAGGTGACCATATCGACCCTAGTTACTGGCTTGGGTGATGAGCGCTCTGACAGCATCTCGGAATTGTTTGGTAGTTGAGGAATGGGTAATCCGCGAGTCGCGTGGTAGACATCGATAGAAATGCGTGAGTGAAAGGCATCGGGAGACTGTTGTGGAGTTTCGGCGGACTCCGCGGTGGGCTCTATGGGCATTCTTCGCTTTAGAACTGTTTTGTAGTCGTTCGCACACTTCTCCATGAGTCCTCCCGCGAGCCTCTGATTTAGCAATGATTTTGAGGGCAGGGAAGCACATTTGTTGGCCTGCACTGTTAGCAAGAGCCCATCCTTTTGAGTTTCGACTGCTTACTCGACCCTGTATTAAATTTGCTGCCTTCACTTCAAGCCTGTCCGTATCCTGAGTTGCTTTCGACAACGGCTGATCCCAGTGCAGCGCTTGATTATTGTGTTTCTTGATAGCTTCATCAACCATTTGCTTGGCCTTGACTACCAAATTATCCACTTCTTCTATCTCCTCCTTGGTGATCAAGGGGCGTCCGAGGTGTCCGCCCCCCGAATACCTGGCCTCTCGCTTTACTATCATGACTGGATTTTAGGGGGTGATTTCTCTGACTTTAGTGAGTTGATACTGGAATTGAGGCGAAAAGCAAGTTTTGGAGCAAGGAAACGCAAAGCGCAATAATGAAACGAAGATTGGCCATGATGATTCATATACTATGCGTCCTGGAACGGCGCTTGCGTCGGCAGCGAAGCCACTCAGTCACTACTAGCCAATGTCAATGTGGTAGTCACCAAGGGAACAAGTCACCACAGTAACAGACCAGGCGTGAATCCCCCAAAGCTAAGTAGAACTGGTGTGAAACATATCAAATACTCCTATGGCGCGATACGAGGGTATTCACACTTCTGGTCTGTGACATCATTGTCAAGGGGTTCCTTTTTGGTTCATGGACGATGCGTGGAAGCTTTTACGTATTCCAAACCTTGGAAGTCTCGATAAAGAAAGATTTACTATTGCAAATATATAGAGCTGTAAATATGACGACTATAGCACCCAGATCGAAAATGATGAAAGGTATAATGTGAGGCTTGTACGGCTATTCATTCATTGCATCATCTGAAGACACAGCGAGCCCCAGAACCTAGCTATCTAACAACTCAGAAGGAACCCTGACACATTTCCATCAACATTCAGAACACCCATTCTCCACAGCATAACTTGAGCACAAAAGCTATATCCTATACCTTGCCATATCCAAGTAGAAGACAAGACGTGTCTCTGTTGGTTAGGCCATCTATTATTCTAGCCTAACTCCGGTTCAAAGCATTTTGGAACCACCGTCGGAGCTTACCATTCTTCTTGTCATGTCGATTCTTTTGTTCATCTGCCATAGACGATGTGCTGGTACTGGATGACTCGGCACCTGTAATGACCTGCGCATCTCCGGTTTGGGGACCCAGAGAAAGTGCATCCTGTAAGTCCAGAAGAAGTGGGGACTGAGCGCGGTGGTTCATTGACGCGCCTATGTTTGCTAGATAGGTCTCAATCTCTTGCAGAGAATCGTGGTGCGGTACAATAAGTTCTCCGGTAGAAGTTTGCGCATTGGACGCTATTGGCACGGTCTGAGTTGTCCGCTCAACATCATTCCGAACTGATACCGAGGCCAAGTCATTGCTAAGGCGCGACTGATCCTGCGGAGGTGATTGAGAAAGCTCGGTGCTGAACCACCAATCAATATTATGTGTCATGTCGTTGTCTTGAGATAGAGGTCGACGTTGTCGCTGGATGATATCGGAAGGGGCGGTAATAACGAGTCCGCCTGGTGCAATGTCATCGACGAACCCGGAATCATGGCCTTGTGACGACTCTTCCTTAGACTCCGCAACAATCAATTCAATCCGGTCACTCTCCTAGACCCACTTACCTATCTAGGTAGGGCTTAAACTCCTATAGGTAACTACTAGGCTTAAAGCGGTAATCAATCAATCCAATCTGAACCTTCTAGGACCCACTTAATTGATTGTTGCGGACTGTGCTCTTCCTTGATGATAGCTAGCCCACGATGCACCTGCTGCGCCGGTAGCTCCTTCCGCATTGCGTTCCGCCATTCTACCCATAGCGTGTCATACGCAAAGCACAGTTGCTTTAACTTATCGCTGGAGCCACCAACAGAGTATCGCTGGCCTGCTTTACCGAGGACGATATCTTTATTGTTCAGCTTCTTCTTCAGCGTGCGGTATTTAGACCACATATCCCCTTCGGCAACGGGCACATAGTCTGCATCAAAGAACATGTTCCATTGCTCCTCGTATAAAGGACCGAACTTCAGCATGGACTTGAACTCTGAAGGTGACTCTGGGTTACCGTAGGTGAGCAGCTCACCTGATGAGTTGAAGTTGGCTCCCATCTGTTGCAAGCGGCCTCGTAGGTTGAGGATATCCGCAAGGTTGTTCAGGATCGGGGTTCGCTCGGTAAATTGGAATGACTGAGGTCTAGTTGTTGCCATTCAGGACTACCCTTCTTGGAATCGGCCCGATGCTTCTTGGCCGAATGTTCTACAACCTTCACTTTCACTCCTTTGCCGTCATGTGCTTACGCACATCTCATGTATATAACCTTGTGTATCTACTCCGTAGGACAATCAACGCAGTTCTCATATGCAGTTGTTGACGTCTTGTCTACTGCGATAGTTATGAGCCCGGATACGTGCTACTGCACCCTTCTTCAATAACTGCTGTTCACTTGTCTTTCCTCAAGCGTATTCTATTGTTTGTTTGATTGTCGAATACCTTGTTGAACGTCTTTTGCTGCCACCGTATTGCTTGTCGCAATGGCTGCAACCGAATCGTCTAGTCTTGTGACCAAGACTACCGTCATTCTTAAGAAGCCATCTAATTAGCAAGAATGGCTGTTTCTTAGGCGGGATAAAGCTACTCTTAATGGTATATGGGAGTACTGCAATCCCGACATGTCGCAACATGAGCTGAAGAAGCTTATTGAACCTGTGCGACCGACGCCTGCTACTGTAGCAGAAGGAGTAACGCTTCGCTCACAGCTTACTCATGAACAACGACTCGACTACCAGGACCTGCTAGACGCCTGGGAATACGACCAAAAGACCTATCTGCACCGGCAGAAGGCACTGAATGAATTGACATCGGAGATTGCGCAGACAACTGCACGAAGCAATCTATATCTACTCGAAGGCAAATCAACAGCCTACGAACGACTGAAGGCTCTTAAGGAGCACCTTTCGCCGAACACTGCAAGACGATCACGCGAGCTTGTAGTCAAGTACAGGGACTTGCAAGCAACACGGCGAGGCCGAGCGGTTGAAGGATGGCTGGACGATTGGATCAAGATCACCGACCAGATGAGAACGCTTAATCTACCGGACGTAAATGGTTCTCGGAGCCAGGAAGACTTCCTCATTGCCGTCAAACCACTCGATGACGCATGGGCAACAATGACGCTCACTGATCTCCTTGCTAAGGACGAAGCAGGAACACCAGTTCCATCTCTACGAGATTACGTGTCGAAATTTCGAACATTCCACAGTCGTACAAGCCCTAGAGCAGCAGGAATAGGGACATTTTCAGCTACGTTAGGAATGGCTGATACAAACGGAGGTCACAAGCAAAGAAAGCCGAAGTGCTTTTGTGGCGAGTACCATTTGTTTATTGAGTGCAAATATTGCAACCCGAAACTACGAGAAGATGGCTGGCAAGGCGACAAGGATATCTTTGAAGCAAAAGAAAGGGCAAAGAAGCATCCAAAGCTAAAAGACTACATTCTTCGAGCAGAGAAGGGACAAGGACCTTCTAAGAAAAGACCGGAGATGACTAGCTCGAAGAACGGTACTGCATCTTCTTCAACTTCGACTCCGACTCCTATTCGCTTTGACGACGATCAACTAGCCACGAGTCCTATTCAGACAAACGCCTTAATACAGACTTTCAATACTGCAACGACTAAAGTACCACACCTTATGAACCGATGGGTGTTGGATCCTGGATCGAACGCACATGTTTGCAACACTAGACAATTTGGCTGGTCCTTTGTAAGGAAAGCTAAACCTGGAGAAGTGATCTATGCTGGTGGCCAGGTTGTTCAGATCGCTGAATGGGGCACTGTTGTACTCAATGTACGAACACCATCTGGCAAGGCACCTATTAAGCTCACTCACGTTGCATTGGTAGAAGGGTTCTTTGCCAATGTTCTTGGTCTATCGCGCTGTCGACCGCTAGGAATCCATTTCGATTCAGGACGCGACTTGCTATACCAGAACAACCCGAGCAATGTGGTCGCAATGCTGGAGTACAGCAATGGGCACTGGCTTATCGATGCTGAGGAGAATGACAGACCCGAGCTAAGTACGTTATCAACATTTGCTGCTCGGTTTCAGCCCCAAAGAACATCTCAGAAACCAAGACCAGCGATCGTTGCTACGGCCAACGAAGCGCATCAGTTGTGGGGACATGCGAGCAAGCAGGCAATTGATCATCTGCCTGAAAGCGTTACAGGTTTTGAACTTGTTGGAGACAACAAAGCGCCGAAATGGAAGGACTGCGATGTGTGTATCCAGTCGAAAATGACGCAACAAATCTCTCGAAGGACCCCTGAAGATACGAATACAACGCCTTTCTATCGCGTTGGCATTGATCTGGTTCAATTACTTCCTCAAGGAGAAGCTTGTTACAATGGTGACAAGTATGCCTTTCACGCGATCTGCCATTCGATTAAGTGGCATGAAGTCACAACGATACCAAACCGACAAAAGAGCACCCTTGTGAATGTGATTAAGGCTCTAATTGCAAAGATTCAACGACAATTCGAATACACTGTGGTTGTATTTCGTATCGACAGCGAGCCTGGTTACCGCGAGCTATTGTACGATGTCTGCAAAGAGCTTGGTATCAAGATTGAAGCGCGAGCCGCTGATACTCCTGCGCAAAATCCAAATGCTGAAAGAGCTGGAAGAGTCATAGTCGAACGTGGAAGAGCATTGAGAATCTCATCAGGACTTCCAAAGGAATTAGCAAACGAGCTTGTTATCACTGCCGCTATGTTGCTTAACATCACGCCAACAGAGAGCCTCGATTGGGAGACGCCTTACCAAAGAGTGTTTGGTAGAAAACCATCAGTAGCGCATATGGCTCCAATTGGATGTCGTGCTCACGTGCTCGACAGAAAGGTCAAGCGTGGAGACAAGCTTGAATCCCGAACGATGATTGGATATTTGGTTGGTTACGATTCGACAAACATCTTCCGTATCTGGATACCATCTAAGGGACGTGTTATACGAACACGCGATGTGGTCTTTGCACGACAGCACCTCATGAAGAACGACGATGAGCCTGAGAAGCTCTCAGAAGAAGCTGAGCGATTAATTGAGATCTTGGATATACCCACACCTCAAGCGCTCATAGACATTGAGGACCTTCTGTCTCCATTACAGAAACAGACTTATGAGGAAAACAACTCTTTAACCCAGAATGACCGAAACGATGCTGAAACAGCAACCGAGAAAGATATTCAGTTCGAACTAGGGAATCTAGACAAGGAATTCGATAATTCTGCAACACCAGAATCTACGATTAGGGTCAGACATCCCGATGATAGCCCTACAACACCAGAATCAATGGTTTCCCGTCGACAAAACGTACCAGGCGGTTGGGGAGATCAATACCAAGACTACGTGCCAGACCGATACCAGAACAACGCTCCAAGACGTTTGAATCCAGAGGTTGGCAGTCAAGAGAATGTGATTGAAGGACACCGAAGACGACACCGAGCCAACTACTCTGATCATAATCACCTGAGTACGAATATGACCTACTATAGTACATTTTTGGCCGCAATCAGTCAACCAGAAACGACGAAACTGTTCAGAGAATTACCGAAAGTTCGACTCTATAGAGATCAGCTGCCACCACCTCCAAAACGCTATCGAGACGTTGCTACGCACCCATTTGCCAATGAGTTTCAGAAGGCAATGAATGTCGAATTTGACAACTGTTGGAAGAAAGGTTGCTTTGCTCAAACACCTGCAACCTCATCAACTGCTGATGCTGAGGTTTTACCCCTAATGTGGGTGTACACATACAAGTTCGATCAAGATGGATACTTGTATAAGTTCAAGGCTCGACTTGTCGTACGCGGAGATCTTCAAGCAGAATGGGGAGACACCTACGCGGCCACGCTGGCTGCCCGAGTCTTTCGAGGATTAATCGCGCTAGCTGCTGCGTTCGACCTCTTAATGTTTCAGTACGATGCACTAAACGCGTTTCTAAACGCACGAGTAAACAGAAAGCTTTTCTGTTATACACCTGAAGGCTTTGCAAAACAGTATGGAGAACTACTCCTAATTCGTCGAGCATTGTACGGTCTTAAGGAAGCTCCATTGCTTTGGTATGCAGAACTTCAGAAGACCCTAAAGAAGCTGGGGTTAAAAGCAGTTCCTGGAGTTCCTTGCTTGTTTGCTAACAACGATCTGATCGTTTTCTTTTACGTCGACGATATTGTGGTCCTAGTGCATCCTTCAAAGACAAGTTACAAGGAGGAATTCGAAAAGCGCTTGCTACAAATCTACGATCTCCGAATACTTGGCAAATTAAGTTGGTTCCTTGGGATTCGTGTGATACGCGATCGACCTTCGAAGAGCATTTGGTTAATTCAAGACTCCTTTATTAACAAGGTTGCAAGCAAGTTCAACCTAACAAGCGACAAGGGATACCCCGATTTTCCGATGAAGGAGAACGTACTACCACCGTCAACGGAAGAACCAAACTCTAAGCGCACAAAAATCTATCAACAACTAGTTGGATCACTGGCTTACATTGCCACGTTTACACGACCTGATGTCGCACGAGCGCACTCAGTACTGGCCCGACATCTTGCAAACCCTGGCCAAAAGCATTTATACGCAGCAATCCATTGCTGGCGTTATCTTATTGGCAAGAGAAATCTGGCGCTCAAGGCCTCAGGAACTCAAAATGAGAAAGACCTGTTCGTAATCCCCGTAGAGAACGCGGACAAGTATACAGACACGGTTGAACCAATATTTTATGGCGCATCTGATGCTGCCTATGCGGACGAACCTGACACGAGAAGAAGCTCTGAAGGATACTTGTTCAAGCTATACGGCCTGCCTGTTGACTGGAAGGCTGCTATCCAGAAGACTGTTACAAAGTCCACAACAGAAGCAGAACTTCTAGCTCTGTCCCGAGCTGGCGGAGAAATAAAATGGTGGAACAGGCTGTTCCGCGAAATTCGATTTAATCCAGATATAGTCTCGAAGATCTGGTGCGACAATCAACAGACTGTTGGCATAGTCACAAAGGCTGAAGAGAAGCTTCAAACAAAGCTAAAACACGTGGACATTCATCAGCTGTGGCTACGACAAGAGGTAGAGGCTGGAAGAATCCATGTAGACTGGAAGCCGACTGCCTACATGCCCGCCGATGGACTGACAAAGGTACTACCTCGACAGAAGCACGCCCAGTTCATCAAGCAGCTTGGTCTTGAAGACGTCTCAGATCGCTTAATCACCACCATAAAGGACATCAACAACGAGTCTCTCTTAGAGATACATGATTAATTTCAGCTTTCACTGTTCATTCAAGCTGGGGGGGTGTGTTGCCATTCAGGACTACCCTTCTTGGAATCGGCCCGATGCTTCTTGGCCGAATGTTCTACAACCTTCACTTTCACTCCTTTGCCGTCATGTGCTTACGCACATCTCATGTATATAACCTTGTGTATCTACTCCGTAGGACAATCAACGCAGTTCTCATATGCAGTTGTTGACGTCTTGTCTACTGCGATACTAGTATCTACGACGGCGTCATCTTGACGCCCGCCATACGAGTTTATGAGGGTATCAATGTATGAATCGAGTCCTGCTTGGGTACCGCTTTCGAGGATTGCCAGAGTATCTGCGTGAGTTTACATTTTGGGTCGGAGTGCGGGGTGTGTGGCTAGAACAGTGGACTCTGTGGTGCTTGTCTGAGTTACGCGATAATTTAGCGTTGACACAGCTGGTTCTCGGTTGACTGAGTGGTTGGGTAAACAAGAGTTTTCAGCTAGTTGGGAAGAACAGTTAAGAAAAATCATGTGACGGAGACCCTTACGTGAAACCCTGCAGCTCCAACCTGCGTTTGGTCTCAATTCACGCGATAGGATACTCCCCATCCTGTAGTGGATTCAAATTTCACGATCAGTGAGTCGCTCGGATCCCTTATCGCCCAGGTCAGTGACGTATCCGGGCAGTAATCCGTAAAGTGAGGCCTTTCACTGAGCACGTCTATCCTACGGATTATATTCTTCGTCGATCTTCACACGTCGTACAGCGAGGAACAAAGTATACACCGCTAGCCACCGGTCGATCGATTCCTTCAGCAACACAACCAGAACACCTTCCCCTTGGCGATGGAGGGAGTTGCAGTGGTTTGCCTGAAAGACTGCCGCTTCTTTTTGAGTCCCTAAATTTTGATGGTTTAAAGAAATGCCACATGGTTCCCAGATTCGGTTCGTTCTACTTGGACAGGCTTAGTGAATATTCAGGATCTCAGCTGAGGAGCAGGCAGATATCGCAAATACTCTGGTATTGGTGATTCGATTCTTCTTTTGGTAAACATTAAGTCTGGTCTTGCATTTTGAGCGACATAGTGTAAGGGAATGAAGAAAATAAATACTTAGCGAAATACCTAACTGCAAAAATGGGTAGTTCCACGGTACCCATTTTTGAAGTGTTAGAAGAAAGAACCTTGGTAAAACATCAGATATTTTCTGGAGATATAACTTCCTTGTTGAGAATATCTGAGTTCAGTCCAGGGTAGAAGGTGCTTGGGAGTCACATGATATGCTGGTGTGGCAGGCACTGCCCGGTGGGCAATAGCACCCACCACAACAGAGTGAGTCTGCGACACTCAATACGATAGTCAATACAAAATACGTTGCAGCCACCCCGCCTTGTCCCTCCTCCCACTCGGTTATCCATAGTAGTCATACTACTAGAGGGACCTTGTTCCAATATTCCTGGTCAATCACACTGTGTGCTCACAATATGGTAGCAACTCCAGTACCACAGTACAGTCAACCGAGGCACAAAACCACTGCATCTAAGGGAATTCAAAAGAGTGCATCGACGCAGAAAGTTCCAGATCAAAGAGAACCCTAGCCAGAATGATCCTGGGCTGCCTGATCTGACGAAAGCTCTACTGAGTTTTTTTCTCTTTACAATACCCAAAGTTCGCTAATGGATACGGAAGCTCTACGAGAGATCTACCTCAGTGACAGTTGCACTACCAGAATCGAAATGATTGAAACTCTGACATTCGCAGGGTACGCGCAAGGAAATTCGTACCATGGTATAGTCAACCGAACCGGGACAGCGTCCCGCAAAACCATGTTCGCGTACGATCGCAGCGAGCCATTTCGATATTGTCATCTAATTTAACATGTGCAGGGTGTGAATGTGCAGCTACGAGAGCTGGATCAGCCCGGGGTCGCTTTGGTAATTCCCATCGCTACCACATCAACATGTCTTGTGCCGTACCTACCTAGGCATAATTCGGTGCAGCTTGAAAGCTAAGCCATTAATAGACTAGTCGCAGATTGCAGTGGAGTTTGAAAATATATGTCCTGCATCTGGTGCGTGATCGGGAGAACGGCTATCAATACACGATTTTAATTGGAGCGGGGCTATTCAATCGTCAGTCCGCTAGTATTGGAGACGATAGATCGTGGCGTCGCAGATGGGCTAAATCTCGTGGAAGTTGCCGCCGTCATGGAGTTGAACGAGATTTTGTCGATAAACAGGGCAGCAAGAAAGTTCATAAAGAGCGGTGTGTCTTCGGAACCTGACGATATATTGTTTTGAGTAATAAGAAGTTTGCTTGACAGATGCCTGGGCAAGTAGAATGCATGTTAGATCGTGTATACCAATCGCATGTTAGGTAGACTGACGTTCGCCTCGCCGATCAGTCGTCGCGCAACCGCGGTTAACTAGTTAGACCTCGCCTGTGGGCTTTTCAATATCTTCTTCCACCGCCACGTCCACAAAAACACACATCGACTTCCTCGGGGAGAAGGAGATAGGGCATACGGCTGAAAACGAGCTCTTATTAGCCGGCCTACTTTCCCCGCTCATGGAATTGTATGCCCACCTCGACCTGATGGGACCTGCATCCCACGTGTTACTCCACCCCCGCATGTACATATCGCTTAGCCCAGAACGTCTACCCCAGGGCTAGGAGTTGACCCCGAAGATCCCGAGGTCCAAGCCGGTTGATTAGCGGATTAGCCAGCCACCTGCTGCGAGTATGTGGAACCTGGAAGAAACTCTGGAGAGCTAGCAGGTCGCTAGAGAAGAACAGCATAGTTGTATGCACCCCATGAGCCCGGATAAAGAAATGTACTGGGTTGACATGAACCGCTGCGGCGGATACGCATATTGGCCATGCATACGCTAAGGTTCTAGAATAACCGTCGAAGAATATATAGGACACGATGCAGGTCCGCTGGTAAGACAGACTCAGCCAAGAACGCATTTCAGATCATCGTTCAACATGCGTTTCTCCAGTATCGTCGCCAGCTTGGCTTTAGCCAGCTCTGCCATTGCAAGCCCGTAAGGAAACTCACCTCGTTTCTGGCATTTACATACTGACTTCAACCCAGCACTTCCTGCTCTGGCAATGACACTGGCAATGACAAAGACAGTCTCTACAAGGCCATGAAGAAGGCGGGACGAGAGTTCGTCGGCACAGCCCTGACTATCCACAACGAGACTCGTGAACAAGAGATCATCAAGCAGGAATTCAACTCCTTCACCCCGGAAAACGCGATGAAGTTTGAGTCTCTGCATCCATCTCGTTACAACTACACTTTCGATGACCCCGACCGCTATGCGGCTTATGCCAAGAAGAACAACCTTGAAATACACTGCCACACTTTGGTCTGGCACTCCCAGCTTCCTGCGTGGGTTTCTGAGGGCGGCTTCGACAACAAGACCCTCATCAGCATCATGGAGGACCACATCAAGACCGTCATGACCCGCTACCAGAGCGTCTGCACACGCTGGGATGTTGTAAATGAGGCTTTGTTCGACAACGGCACCTACCGCACCAGTGTCTGGTACAACACCATCGGCGAGGCCTACCTCCCCATCGCTTTCCGCCTCGCCAACAAGTACCGCGGCAAGGCGCAACTGTTCTACAATGACTACAACCTCGAGTACAACGACAACAAGACCGCAGGTGCCGTCCGTATCGCCAAGCTCATCAAATCCTACGGCGTTCGCATCGACGGTGTTGGCTACCAGGCCCATCTTGCCATCGAGTCCACACCTACTTCTCCAGGTGCTGCTCCCGACCAGAAGACCCTAGAAGCTGCTCTCCACGCGACTGCCGACCTGGGTCTCGACGTTGTCTACACTGAGCTTGATCTTCGCATGAACACTCCTGCCACCCCTGAGAAGCTCCAGGTTCAGGCCGAGTATTTCGAACGAGTAGCCAAATCTTGCATGGCTGTCAAGAGGTGCATTGGCATTACTCTTTGGGGTATCTCTGACAAGTACTCTTGGATCCCGGGAACCTTCAAGGGAGAGGGCGCTGCACTTGTGTGGGACGACAAATATGAGAAGAAGCCTGCGTATGCCGGACTCATCGCGGGCATCAGAGCTCCCAAGGGTCAGTAGTAGGTTAAGGTATCATCCTCAGATAGAAATTTGGTCAATATAGAAATACTCTCATATTCCATCGGGTTCTATTTCACATCATGTGCTTTTGAACAACGCCCATCAAGGGACAGCCACAGCTTATATACCCCTGTATCTCCTTTCTCAACCTCCCCCAGTCATGCTTCAATGTTTCATAGGGTCTCCTGTATCAGACCTGTCTCTTTGTTGCGAATTGTGGGATTTTTTTGGTTTCCATTTGCTGGCAAGTTTGTTTGCCAAATCTTCCATGGGTTTATCCCTCTTGTTACCAATTCTCAGGTCTGTGAGCTGATAGCCAAGTTCATCCACGGAGCCTTTCTTCTTTCGTAGCTCTCCAGGAGGCATTTCCTGCACTTGTTGTTTTGAAGCCACGCGAGAAAACGGGATCTCTTGATATTGGCAAAAACTATTTAAATCCGCACTTGGAATGCGCTGTCAAGTCTCATTGGCAGGATACGATGTTGGATTCCGCAATCAGAATCCGCTGTCGGGATGCGCTGTCGGATTCTGCTCTTACGTATTCGGCTTTTGGGAATTCGCTATTGGCATCGCCTAGTTGAATCTGCTATTGTGAGTCTTCTATGAGGAGCCTATGTGCATAATATGCTATTATAATTGATTGCTAACACCCGCTGTCGCGATACGCTGTTTGGTTACGGTGTTAAGATGTGCTGTCTGGAAGCACCCTTCAAAGATTTGCGGACATCAATCCAAATTTACACCCCACTTTTGTAATTGAAATTGAGATCAGATATCTCGAAGGCAGCTGTCGAGGAATGCGACAAATCCACTGTCAGTGTAGGTTATCGTGGGGAGGAACAAGATCGGGCTTTCGCGGCTATCAGGATTCCGACAATGGGAATCTACTGTATGACCTCGCTATCCAGGTCCATGAGATTTCGCTGTTTCAAACTGCTTTCGAAAACCGATGTCAGATAAGCTGGTGTTGGAAGATCTGTTATCAGGAAATTTGTTACCGGCGCTATTGAGGATTCTGCACCCAGGATCTTTTCTGGTAAGGTCTGCGACAACAGCATCATGCTGTTTTAGTATCTGTTACTAGTGCCTGGAAGGTCACGATCTTGGCGATTAGCGATTTGTTAATGGATTGCTCGCTTCTTTGGTGTCGAGATGAGGAACGCAGCACAAAACACTAATGCCGGAAACGAACTAGCTTCACTCGCCTCATTACACCCGCATTGTTGTAGCACGCCACCTTGGAAGTGCTAAATTGTCTACAAGTGCGCAAGAAAAGGGTACGGCGAGATTCCCACCAGCAATTATCCACTTGTAGTCGTTTTCAAGGTTGTTTGCGCTTACACTGGTGTCTCGGGTAGGTAGCTGCAAGTGGGACGCAGCTTTGACGTCGTTCTGCGTCAATCAGCACATGCGCTTGTCTAATTCGTAGGTAAGTATGACAGTATGATGCAGGCAGTTTTGAAGTGATGAGATTATGAGGCGCTGGGGAATACAACATTAGTGTAGCGTATAGTGTTAGCACGCACTGCCTACCTGCGCTTCAACTTTTGACAAACGGCCAGCAATCATTGTCGCTCATCGCTAGCGCATTGATCAAATTAGAGCAAGCGCAGATAAAAGAGAACTAATTGCCCGTTAAATCAGACGCCTCACTATCCGCTTCATCTATATCCATTCAATCACCGGTAGGCACTGCTCCGGCCAGGGACCATGATCGCTACAAGCCTGCTATCTGCCCGAAGCCGTATATCCTCTGTTGGATCACGATACTCGCACCCCAACGATGCTGAAGAACTTGATTCTGGTACCGGCACGACTAGTACTCAGCCCTGTTCTCCTTCGTACTTGTCATCCGACCTTAGCAGCACACCTGAGATCAATCAATCAAGCAAGCTGACAGCCCCCGGCTTGATTGATTGGCTGTTTGTATGAGATTTGGCTGGATTGATTGAATTGGCTTGGCGGAAAGTTGTTAGCTTGATTGGTAGCTTGGGTGCTTGATTCCCAAATAGGAAAGTTGTATATATTTTTTGGTGTTGAGTCTCAGCCGTCGTCCCATGTATCTAGATCGTCGTCTTCGCCCACCCACTTGCTAAGCTCGTACAAAACGTCCATCTGCTCGTCGGTAAGCTTTGATTGGCCCATATCGTCGTTGTCGCCGCCACCAAAACCTGCCCGTCTCCATCGTCGTACTGAGTGTAGTGCTGCTAGTAGCTCAGGTGATATACAGCGTCGGCGAGGCTCTAGTAGATCTCCGAGCTCACTGAAGACGCGCTCACACTCACAGCTTGAAGCGGGTATAGAGAGTATAGTAAGCGCCATCTTACTAAGGTTGGGATATTGATCGCGCAGCCCGAACCAGTATTGTATAGGATCGGTGCCCTTGCCAACGATTGGCTCGCGCTTCCACTGCTCATACTCATCCTCCTTAGTATTGCCGCGTGTGGGATCAATAATGCCGTCAATCGCGTCGTCAATATTGCTCGGTTTCTTCGGTGCGCGTGTGTAGCAAGGCCTCGGTAACGGCAGCGACTTGTAATCCGCCCACAGTGCCTGGAAATTAAGATTATTAAGCGCCAGCCAGTCAGGCTTCTCAGCCCACGCTTGATCGCAGTAGTGTTTGTAGCGAGGATGGAGTATTGTAGCAGCGTAGTAAGCTGGCGAGTCGTCGAGTTTAGCGTAGTACTCGTTCGCCTTAAGTAGCGCTGCGCGTAGATTAATAGGAAGGTGATCTTCGGGTGCCTCGTCGTGAGCGTCATGGACTACGCAATCGTAGTAGAGGAGGCGAGCTTCTAATTGAGTGAGTAGAAAATCAAACGTTGGGATCACCTCAGCGATCGCGCCAAAGCTATACTCGCCACGTCCCTCAAAGCGCTTTGTACACTCTTTGAGTGGCCTAAGACCTCTATATAGTCGGTAATAATAGCCTAATTAGCAGCTGTGAGGCCGTCTAATCTCATCTACTGTGGAGCAGCAGGCCGATTTTTGCCCCGTGAGTCGGCGTAGATATCCTCTTTTGCTGTATTTTGTATGTGGGTGTTCGCGTACGCGTTGATGGCCGGCGCGAGCTTTATAGCTCGCTCAAAACAGTCGAAGTATGAGTTCCAGCGTGTGACTACTGGCTTTATTGGCTATAGTATCGTGAGCTTGTCGTCTGCGTCGTGAGGTAGCTCACGGTAAGCTGTACGCTGCGCCTTCTTAAAAAGATTGTACTGCTGCGGTGTGTAGATATAGTTGATAATATCGAGAAGTACGCCTAAAGGCCCGTGCTTTCGCCACTC